TTCGTGGAGAGCCCCATTGTTGAGCAAATTAGAGCTTGGAGAGGTGTTGGTTGAAGAAATCTTGAAGGAGAAGTAGCTTGGATCAAAGGGCTTTGCTTGGATTCGAGTTTCATTGTTGTTGAGGCATCCTTTGGAGGTAATATTTTCGTTCTTGGGCTGTGTTTTCCTAGATTCTCATTTTGGGGTTGTGTGGGGAGCTTAGTTGTGTGGCATCTTGATGTTTGAAGGATGGATATGAGGTTGCTACCTCAGATCTGGAGTGGAGAAGATGTTAAGAGCATTAAAGCCCCTGTTCTTGTGTTGTTAATGGAGCTATCATGTCCCAAACCTTAGTTCTAATGTGTATTATGCTTAGATCTTCGTGGATTCACGTAAAGTTTGCCACTTTACGTGATGGATGGGTTGTAGGAGGCTAGATCTATGTTTTGGATCAATTGCATGGCCTGAGATGCTTCTGTATAGATTCAGACCGGTGGTACTCGACGAGTCACAAGGGTGGACTCGACGAGTTGCTTGAAGATGGCCTGGAACTCGACGAGTTGGAAGAACAACTCGACGAGTAGGTTGAAGATAGCCTTAGACTCGGCGAGTCTGTTCTTGGACTCGGCGAGTCTTGTCGAAGAGTCCCAATATTTCTGGTTGAGTCGATGAATCGGTGAGTCAAGGGATGACTCGGTGAGTTGGGTGCGAGTGGACTCGGAGTGGTTGGACTCGGCGAGTCTCGGGGTGACTCGGCGAGTCAGGTCGCGGATTGAGGGAAGTTCTGAGCTTAGGGACTCGGCGAATCATCAGGATGACTCGGCGAGTAGAGTCAGTCAGGGGGTTGACCAGTTGTCTTCCAAGGGTACATATATATATTGAGTTGAATGTTTTGATGTTCAGTGAAGGAGTTCGTGTCAGAGTTCGGAGCAGCGGGATCTTATCCTTTTAGCCGGCAGTTTCGAGGTGAGTTATCCTCACTATATCAACAGGGTCTAAGGCACCAAGGTCGGCCCTTTATTGGATTGAGATTCGGATATGGTTATTATGATATTGTTTGATGTGTCTGCATCCTGGTAGCTAGGATGGTACATGCTAGGAGACCTTGTTGAGGTCCGTTTCCCGATATATAGAGTGATGCTATGCTAGTGACCGGTTAGGTCGGTAACCTGGTTAGGGTAATGATATGCTATGTGATCTGCTTGCTCGGTTTGTTGACTATGATTGTTATATGGTTGTATGTTTGTGCACATGGTTGTTTGGACTGGAGATGGGTTGAGGCGGGTCCTGCTTTGTGCTGTAGGCCAAGATACCCAGGGCGGACCGGTTATTCCGAAGGCCCAGCGAGCGGTCCGGATAGGCTGTAGGCCCCACGAGGGCGGACCAGACGTGCCGAGGCTCGGAGAGTGGACCTGGCCGACTGAAGGCCCGATGCGGGCGGACCAGTCATACTGTAGACTCAGAGAGTGGACCAGGTGAGTTGAAGGCCCAGTGTGGGCAGACCAACCACACTGTAGACTCGAAGGACATGATTAGACCTGGTGGATGGATCCGGTGGACTAAAGGCCGATACGGCGGACCAGTCACACAGTAGACCCGATATGCATGGTTGTTCTATGTTCTGTTATGTTATGTATGTTTTATATGTTATGGGCCGGAAGGCAATATGTTTTGGACCGGAAGGTCGTAGCCTGGAAGGGCGTATATGTGGTTGGTATTTTGGGGGTATCTCAGTAAGCTTTCGGGCTTACAGTTGTGGTTTAATGTTTTTCAGGTTCTTCAGGAGACTGTGGCAAGGCGAAGGCGCGATCGTACCGCTCCTCATGATTTTGTAGCAATGTGATTCTGGGAATACTCTAAATGATTTGTATTGAAAACCTTTTTGTAAACAATTTAATGAAAGCGGGTTGTTTTGAAAAATTTAAATTGGTTGTATTGTTTCGGGCGTTACATAGTCACTTAAATCACGCGGCCAAATTCGTTTCCTACTCGACGAGTCAGGGCATCTAACTCGTCGAGTTAACCTCTCAAAATGAAAATAAAACTGAAAAGTCTATACTTGAGAGTCGAGGTGTTACAATATATATATATATATATATATATATATATATATATATATATATATATATATATATATATATATATATATATATATACTATCTTATAAAAGAAATCCCACTATTTTTTTTAAAACGTTCAAATCATTAAGCTAATAGTACAAGTAGTCATCAATAAAATAATATTAAATTTTAACTTGTGTTTTGAATCATTATATTTCTCAACAAATTTTATCTTCTTCCTTGAATTTCGGATAATTCAAAATTTGAAACCATCAGAAAATACATGTTGATTCAAATATCCCTCCTGCAGATGGCTCTTTCTTAACATGTTTTTATTTTAATCCTTACTTGTAATTGATTTCATCATTTTTAACTTTTTGTATTTTTATCTTATAAATATATTGGGTAAAGGTTTTATTATATCAGGTTTGTTCCTAAAAATATTTTTACTATGTTTTTTTAATATGTTGGATTTACAGGTTCAAATAACTCAACCGAGAGAGCCAGTTAGAGTATTGTATTATCATTAGTTTGTATATTTTGGCATCTTACTTTTGCAATAAAGAACGGTTAAACACAAGATTTGACATGATTAAGGTAGTTTGTATATTTTTCATCTTGTTTAGTTTAAAAATGAAACCTTTTTCATCATTGGTTCTTATAATATCAAGTTTCAGCATATGGACTTCCTGATTACGGTGATTATTGTCATTATAAGGTTCTATATAGATTTTGTTCAATATTTTAAGGTTTCGAGAACCTAAATCAATATGAATCCATGAATTACATACCGTCGTTGAAAATGTTTTAATTTGTGACCAAACTTGGTTTAAAATCACAATGAACAAGTTGACACATGAGTATTTTGGCCTTCTCAAAGGCCTATTTATCGACTTTTGAATCACAACACCTGATATTCTAAAGGTTTATTTTTATAAACTATTATTTATATATTTTAGCATTTTACTTAGTAGGACATTAAATTAATAAAGGAATTAAGGAAAACGAAAAAAAAAAAAAAAAAAAGAGGACGATAAACAGTACAAGTGGTTTGGGTATGTATAAGTGAAAGTAATAACCATTTAGGGGGTGTTTGGCAAAAAAGCTTATTGCTTATTAGTTCATTAGCTTATAAGTTAATAAGTAAATGTAGAGTAACTTATGGAAAAATGATGTATTAGAGGTTTCCCACCGGAATAAGTTATTTTAATCCAAACACTTTTTTAACTTATAGTGATGTGGAACCTAATAAGTTGTTTTAAAAAACAAAGCTTAGCCAAACACCCCCTTAATATGGTATGGTAATGCTCTTGAAAAATAGATGTCATTTAATATTCATTTCTCGAAGTGAACGCAAAATGGTTTTAACTCTAAAGAGATCAAATTATTCGCCGCCCGTTGCTTTGCGCGGGTAGACGGCTAGTATGTATATGTATGTATATATATATATATATATATATATATATATATACACACACACACACACACTAGATGTGTGTCCGCGCAATGCGGCAGTGATAAATAACTCTTTTGACGAATAGTTTTGTTTCGAAGAAATATTTATTAGATTTTATTATTAGTTATTATATATAAAAAAAAAATACAACTTTTAAATAAAATTGTTGTGGTTATACCTTATACTTTTTTTAAAATTATCATTTTGTTCCAAATTAAATTTCTTAATAACATTATCTATATTATAAGAACAAAAAAAGGAAAATATGATTGTAAGTGAATTAAGTTATAAATTATAACTATAGTGATCATAAAATCTTCAACAAATATAACAAACAAAATGTAAAAAAATCATTAAAAAATATATTTGAACAAAACGTCAAGAACTAGAAGAAACTATTCAAACAAGAAGTCAAAAGAAATATTAGTAACTATATTTGAACAAAACGTCAAAAAATAGAAAAAATTATACGAATAAAATATCAAAAAACGCAAGTGAAAATAAATAAATAAATAAATAAAAATCAAGAATATATTCGAACAAAACATTAAAAAAAAAAAAAAACTAAATCATAGAAATATAAATAAATTAAGTAAAAATAATAATTAATAATAGATAAAATTACATAAATGGTTTCTATGGCTGGAACAAATTACATAAATAGTTTTTAAGGCATGAAGGGCAAATGTATCATTTTACAATGGTTTTAACTGAAAAAATTAACATTATTAGCCAAAAGAACCGTCTTTGCAAGATTTTGAAACCTTAGAAACCATCGATGCACAAAATTTGTCATAAGGATCAAAGTTGGTCAGTTATGTCAACCGTCCATTTGTGTAATTTAGTCTTATTATTATTATTATTATTGGAAAAATCATTTTATTCTAATAAAATAATAAGCTTATTTTTCTTTTATCATTTATCAGGCCTTTTAATTAATATCCATTTTAAAATTCAAATTTTAAAATTTTCACTCTAATTACATTTTTTTAAACTGATAACATTAAAGTAAAAAAATAATTAAAAATAAATAATAGTAATAATAAGATAAAAAAATATATATAAACATTGGAAAGAAACTAGTAAAATTAAGAAAATCATTTCAAGTTCGGTTACCAATTTTTGACCGACCATACCAAAAAAATAATAATAAATAAAATAAAATAAAAACTCAAACGTATATTTTGAGATCCCACGGATAACAAATGCAAATTTTGCAATTTACTCTTAAGTATATCAACAAATAAAAATGACTCAAACGGTACTTTTTGAGATCCTACTGGCACCAATTTTGCAATTTACTCCTTAAAGATATCAACAAAGACCACACACGAACACAAAATATACAAAATTTATAACCGGTTAGAAAAAATGTCATAAACTAGTCACCATCTACTTCGTCCAATAACAGGAATTAATCAACAAAACAATTATGAAGGACGAAATAAATATAAATGGTAAAAAGAATCGAATCTACGCAATTACCAACATCATCTAGTAATCTCCCCAAATAACCAAAGTTCAAATTCAGATTCTACCAAAATCCTTTAAAACTTTTTAAAAAAAAAAAAAAATCTACCAACCTTAAAAGAAAGAAACCAAAATCAAATCCCATCAAAAATTAGCCTCGTTTTCAACAAACCCCAACAAAAACTCCAAAACCGGAGGCTTAAAATCATCCTGATCCACAATTTTCAACCCAAAAACACCTTTTACTATTCGCGTATACAGCCTTTCCATCTGTGGGACCCCGTAATCAGTTGTTCGATCCAACAAAAGCTTTTTAATCGACTCGATTTTCGTTTCCGTTTCCACATCCGACATAACTGTGTCTGTTGACTTTGACTTTGACTCGCTAATTTCGTCTGGATTTGCGTCGACTTCGATGGATTCGGGAGGTGGACTTGCGGGATTCGGATCGGCTTGATCAACTACCGGTTGTTCTTGTGGTTGAGATCCTTCATCTGGTGTCGAACCTTAAAATCCACAAACAAAAAAAATAATAATAATAATAATACAAATACAATTTGGAATGAAGTTTGCATAGATACCTGGATGTGAAGGATCGAGAATTTTCTTTGGTCGTTTGAGTGCTATGACTTCATAGCTCTGATCCACATTGACTTCTGGCTGGACATTCCTTAGACGAGCACTTGCCCTTGTCATGGTGGTTGTTGCCATCTGAGCAACAGGAACAGATCCACCAATTTCTTCAGGTAGAGTCAGTGGGCCCCCATTTTCAGCTATTTTTTCACAATAACTCACCAATGCGGGGTCCATCTGCGATAACATCCCATGCACCTGTAATTTACCCAAAAAAAAAAAACCACTTCAATCACACCAAGACTTTATAATAATTATAAAAAAAAAAATGGCATACTGAATCTCGAAGTTCGTAAGCTCTACTGACAATCCTAGCTCCATTGTAATCGTCCCTGTTATATATCTGCAACAACAAAATTACAAAAGAAAAGTTTTTTTTATTAAATAGATACAGAGATAATTAATAATTTAATATGTAATTGTTACCTTTGCGTTTGCTAAAATGAGATCAAAATCTTCCAAAAAGGCTTTGCAAGTTATGTACTTGCCAGCATCAACACGTTGTAGAAGGGTAGCCATGTCCATAGGCTTCTGAATAACTGCATGATAGTCAGGGGCGTCTTCTTCCAACACTGGATAGTGAAAGGCACTGAACCTTTTATCATACAAAACCCTTAAAAAAAAAAAAACATTTCTACTCAATAACTAGATTTTTAAAAACTTAAAACCATATTATTGCAATGAAGAAAATCTTACCTATTGCAAACATCACGTAGGCACATTCGTAATCTCCTAAGAGCATGACCTTCAGCCTCAGCTTTAGCTTTTAATTCAGACACTTTTGGGCCAGTGTCCACCTTTGGTGCCTTACTCAGTTCAGGAACAGCAGCTGATTTTTTTGACTTTTTTGCCCCTCCCTCTGATGGTATCGAAAAAGCAGCTTCTATCAAATGATCAAAAAACAAACTTCTATCCTCTGTTATTGGTTTATCCACCTGATATCTGTAACACACAGTTACATACATAATTAACTCTTTCAAAGATATTTATATTAATTGTGAGTTTATAAGTAGTCGAACATACATGCTACTTGAAGGGAATACAGAAGAGGGATCCCCATCAAGCTCATCAAGCTGAACAAATGATGTTCCAAGTAGTAATATGGGAGAATCTGATGGCAATTCTGCTAATAAAGTCAATAACACAGCCCTGAGTTGATCATGTGCCTGAAATCAAAATTTGTATTAGAATAAATTTCTATATAAACAATAAAAATGAAAGAAATTGTAAAAGGGTACCTACATTTTCCCACCAAAGATGAAATTGAGGTAAATAGAGTATGGAAGGTGTAGTTCTCCTTGCTTCACCAAAAACATGAACCAAAGCTTCCTCTGGTGTTTTAGCACTTGGATCAGATAAAAGAGAAGAAAGTCCAAGGGCATGAACAGGAAACTTTTCCAGTTCATGTAAAATAGAAGGTCCCAAATGATCCTATCAACCAAAAAAAAAAAAAAAAAAAGATCATGACACGGTTTAAATAATAGAAAAAAATATATATAAATATCAAAACGGACGAAAAAAAAAAAATTACCAGCCCAGCGCCCTCAATCCCGCACAACAGAAGCCTAGGTCTGTACACAAGAGGAAGGGCAAAACCGGAAACAACCATGGAAAATTTACTAGATTCAGATGAAATTTCAAGAACAGGAAAGATATCGGATATAACCCTCATGGCATTCTGTAAATGTCTTTGCAGACATGGCGATACAACTGGCGATAAAGGTCTGGAATGCACAACGGAACCTCTATGTGCAGCAGGTGTAATTGCTGACATGGCTTCCATAAAATGCTTCTTTTCAACCTCAACAGATTCAACATCTATTAAGAACTTATCATCACTGGTGTAAACCTGAGGGTATTTTTCACGAAAAGCACGTATAGCAGCTTCAGTACAAAGAGCTTTCAAATCAGCTCCACAATACCCTACACAGCTTGCAGCAAGCTCCAATTTCAACTCCTGTACAGGTGGCTGTTTCCATTTTCTTGTATGAATGTCTAGAATTTCAACACGTGCATCCAAACCAGGTAATTGGAAGGTAAATTCACGATCAAATCTACCGGGTCTTCTCAATGCTCCATCAATCGCATCGATCCGGTTTGTTGCCCCGATTAAAACCACTTGTCCTCTTGAATCCAAACCATCCATTAATGCAAGAAGAGTTGAAACAATGGAGTTGTGAATCTGTTCTTGTTTGCTTGACCTCACAGGGGCAAGTCCGTCAATTTCATCGAAGAATATAATCGAAGGTTGGTTTCTTTGTGCTTCTTCAAACAGCAATTTCAGTTGTCTTTCGGCTTCACCTACCCATTTGGAAAGCACATCGGCTCCTTTCCTCATGTAGAAACTCACTTTCTGTCCGGCTTTTGAAGCAGCACAGGCTAAAGCACGCGCGATTAATGTCTTCCCGGTGCCAGGTGGCCCGCAGAGGAGGACTCCTCTGGGAGGGGTAATATGGTAATTAGCGAAAAAATCAGGGTACAAAAGCGGGAAAAACACCATTTCTTTTAACGCATCGATGTAACCGGAAAGCCCGCCTATGTCATCGAAACTTACGGTTTCGTCTACTTGTAAAGGTTGGATGTCGGCCCCACCTTTCGAACTGGGGCCCGCGGTTTGTACACCGGATGCCAGGCTGGACAATACATCAGAGGGTTGACTTTGACCCCAACCGGATGCTGCGATGTTTAATGAACCGTGCATGTCGGGTCCGCCTAACAGCCATGGTGGTGGAAATGACCGATTTGCCCCTCGTGACCATGGCATTGGCATGGCTTGGTCTAGCTCGTCGACAAGGAGAGAATCGTCAGAGTCTTCGGTGGCTCTTGAGATACGGTGGCGTTTATGGACGCGGGATGATCCGGATCCACCTCTTCTAACATCACGATTGTGTTTTGACAATTTTACCCCTTGTTGAAGTACCCTTCGGGGAGATCTTGCTCTTTGTTTACCGCTACTCTCTTCGAGTCTTCGAACCTCTGAACGGTTTCTGAGATCGTATCTTCTTCTACCCTCTTCTTGTTCCTCTTCTTCTTCTTCTTCTTCTTCTTCCTCTTCTTCTTCTTCTTCTTCTTCTTCATCATCACCATCTTCTTCCTCCATCTCATTATTCCCATTCTCATGTCCGTTTTCGTCATTATTATTATTCTCTTCGTAATTCTCTCTTTCATCATCTTCGGATTCAAGAATGAGTTGTCCTCTTGGACCTGAATTGGAATGACGAGGTCTAAGTCCTTCACGTCGAGGAAGCAGCTTCTCTTTATGCCTGTTGCTGCTGTTATTTCGACTCCTGGAACTTCTGTACTTTGGATTTGGACCCTGAAAATATTTTAATTAATAAATAAAATGTTTTATTAAAATAGTTTGAGAAATCAAGAAAAGCAACTCACTCACCATTAGGTCGTTGTCTTCTGTTCCAGTGCTGTCTGTGTAGGCGTCCAGGTTTACAGAAACTCTTCTTTGTCTTGTGGAACGACGAAGGGTTGCTAGAACAGACTGCAATTACACTAGGAATAAATTACAAAAATGGGATTTATAATTTTATATCTACTAAAACAGACGAGAATAATGATAGTGTTTCCATAATTAAAATTGGAAACAACGATATTTTCCATAAACAAGAAGCTATAAAATAGGGATTTGGAGATTGTGCTTGATTGGATACAGATTATACGGTATCTAATTTGAGTAATTTCTCATTAATTATCAATAAAGAAAAAAAAAAAAACGTTGGTTTCTATCACAGATCAGGTATATAACACCTGAGAAACTGAATTCATGATAGCAATTAGATTACAGTGGACTGATTTAAGGAGGCAAAATTTAAATGTTCTTAACCTTAAGCTTTTCGAGTTTTGTTATCTGCATTAGCTTAACTTGTGACAACGCTAACTAAATAGTCATAAGTCACGGATGCCATAACCATGTGTTCTTTATATCCACGGATTATGAAATTATGAAGAACACACTATCTTATTACCAATCATGTAGGCTCAACAACTGTAGTTGAGATGAAAACAGGAAAATTATGCTCGTGCTGTTCATATCCATTGAACTGATTTTTACCCTATTTCTGAGTTCAAACCATGGAATTGGATATAGCAACACTATGCACACCAGTAGTCAAGTCGCATGCATCAAACTACATCATCATTACCTCTAAAGTCAACAGATTAAAGAATCTAACAGATAGTCAACACATAGGTGGCCAAACAAACCGCATTTCCAACATCTAGCAAAATTCCTCACATGCATTTAGATAATAAAGCTAAATATGCATAGAAGAGCATAAGAGAAACCGAATTACATCCGAGTTGTTCTGTCTGGTGTTTAACATCTTGGCAATCTGAGAAGCAGCGGTTCTCGTTTTCGTCTTGCTTCGTTTCGACTTCGGAAACATTACATACCGGTTGTACGATTTGGGCCTTTTTCGAAGCCTGTCGCTTGTTCGAACTGGCCTGGGAGAAGAAACCACACCAGCATCTACATCAGCATCGGCACCAGCATCCTCATTTTCCTTGCCGGATTGCTTCGAAACCATGTTCTTGGTTCAATTCAACCAAATTTTGTGGATTGATTATCTCATCATACAGATTATGAATCTGCTAAGCACGGAATTGAGAATAAATCTTCGAATAGCGATGGTTTTCAGGTGATGCGAGGGTTCAAGCCTCAAGAGGGTGTTGAAGAGGGTTTGCATTTGGAGCATAGACGAGGGTTCATACTTATTTGGGTTTCGGCTTACTATATTTTCAGTGAAATACCTAAATTGGTCCCTGAACTAAGTCATTAGTTAACTTTTAGCCCTTAATAGTTATTTTTATAGTAAGTTACACCTCCGGTCCTTAGGTATAGCTGATTTTTACAAATTTAGTCTAAAAAATATTCTCTTCTAATTTTGACTCTTATTTTGATGTTTCCTAGTTATTTTTGTCCTTATTTTGATTTTCCGTGACTATTTTGGTTCATATCCCAAGTAAATGATTATAATGTCATTTTTATAGTTTTTTACATTTTTATTATTTATTTTATATTTAGGTTATTATTAAATTTAACTAGGATAAAGCTTATCCATGCCCCCTCCTATCCCTATGCCATTAGAAACCCGAATTCCGTCTCCCTCCTTTTTCCTTGTAAAGTGACAACAAATGGTTTATCGCTAAAGATTAATTTTTTTCTTTCAATGACCTTCCCTATACCCTTATATTGACCATTAACCCTACTATAAACCTTTTTCACATCTACCTAGTCCCCGTATCATCTCGTTTCCCCCATGACCAAACACACATCATCTGTATTTTGTAGGTTTCAAATTAAAGTTGAATAAAAAACATGGATATGGATTTAAATAAATCAAAAGTTTAAGGAAATGTAAATAGCATAAAAGCACGAGAGTCACGGGAGAGCGTATGTAGAATCACCGTTGCAACCTACTATTGTGAATATGAATTATGAAAAGAAGACACACAGAACCCATTATTTTTTTATATTTTCCCACAATAACAACCCTCATCGAAGACTTGAATACAAACAACTATAAATTTAGACGACAAATTTTTGAAGTTGATTTTCTTCACTGATAGAATAACATCAACTATATGGAGTAATACCTTAAGGCCAAAATATAATTACAAAATGATGAACTAACTTCAAAACGTATAAACTAAAATCTATTTAATGAATTCCATGCATAATTAAGAAAATCATGATAGGTTTTATAAGTTATAATCAATAAATGTGACGAAAACAACTTAACCCTTAAGTTCACATGCAACCTACTTTGGATCTAAGTGTAACAACCGGTTTCGGATTTACTTCTTTATTCGGGCCTACGGCCCAATCATTTGTATTCATGAGGCTTAGGGCCTTTAGAAAGGAAGAATTTGGCCTTCTCGGGTGTGGGTGTTACGGTCTAAGTAATCCAAGTGTTGGATTGTGTGACAACCCGAAAATTTCCATCCAGTTCAGTGTCAAACTCATTGCTGCTATCTTTTAGCACAATTAGGAGTTTATTTGAGCGTTCTGAACCTTGTACACTTAAGGAATAAGTGTTGGGGTTTATTTGTTGAATCTATAGTTCAAAGAACAAGTCTGGAACATCTTAACCAGGAGTTCACGGCCACCACCATGGAGTTTATGGCCATAAACTCCATGTGGGTCGTAAACTCCTCCTATAAGGTCAAGTTCTGGCCACTTTGTTCATTCCTTTCCTCCTCTTGGCCCAAATCCTCTCAAGTATCATCCCGATCTTCATCCCCGATATTCAAAACTCATAAGCTTATTGTCTTAACTAGTTGTTATCTTGCATAAACTAGTAATCTTACATGATTTCATCCATGAAATCATTCCATTTTGTAGATCTTCAAGTTCCACCAAGAACACACACTCGTGTTCTTGGCCAAAACTGACCATTCAAGCTCCTAGATCGTAAGTACTCTTGTTCTAACTCATTGTACACTAGGATTATCATGTTTAAGGCTTAGAAAACATAAGGAATCACAGGATTCAAGGAGTTTACGGCCAAGACATGTTCTTAGGCCGTAAACCCCTTTTAAGGGTGCAAATGACACCCTAACCCCTTAATGAGCCTTGGAACTTAGCATATAACCTTATACCATTGAACTAGGGACTTCATTACATGATTTGGTACTTTATACCATGAGTTTACGACCGTAAACTCATGGGGAAGTGGTCCTAGGGCTGCAAACACCATATAAGGCCATTCTTGGACCTTAAACCCACCTAACCTCTTGTTTAAGCCTTGGAGCACTTAACCACTTAAGTTATGATAGTTTTGAGCCTCATTTGGTGACCCAATTGAGAGTTTATGGCCAAGAGTAAACTCCCCTGGGCCGCAAACTCCTTAAGACATGGTCCATTGACCATAAACTCCCGTATAAGGCCTTGCACTCCTTTGTTGCAACCCGATAGCCTCCTAACACTTTGACCAAAGTGTTTTCCTCACATTAGGATGTTTATATATGTTTAATTGGTGTAATAAACACTAATTATATATATACATGTGTCTTCATATGTTATTAGGATCATTGTGTGTGTTTAAGTCTTCACTTTACACCGAACACATGTCCGACGCTTCCATCCGATCCACTCGCTGCAGGTGAGTTCATACCCCTTAATTAACCTTTTAAATGTTTTTAAATGTTTATAAATGCTTTATGGGGGGAATACAAGTTGAATCATGTTTAGTTATTATATCAATCACATGTGATTAATAACTAGCATGCAAATGGATTTACTATACGTTAACTGTTTTACCAAACAGATTTCTTCAAATGACTTTCTTAAACGTTTTTACATGTTTAAAACTCTTTATCAAACTGTCTTACATACTATAAGTTTCCTTTCAAACTCTGTTACAAATGTGTTTTCAAACAAAGGTTTTCCTTATACTTAAACTGTCTTATCAAACAAATTCTTTCAAATCGTTTTATAAACTGACATCAAGTCATCGTTTCTTAGTATTAAACTTTTCAAAGGTTTTATAAAACTTCTTTAACGCTTTTATATTGTAAAGTGCATGCCTATATATGTATAGTTATATAAATAATGTTTAAAGGACTTAGGACGACTAGCTCGCTTTATTTCCTTTTCCTCGTTGGGATGTGGCCTTAGGGCATCGGTTGCTCGTCCGAATGTCGTCTAAATATTAATTATATATCATGTATACATATATAGGTATAAAGGTTCCTTGAGTCAGTTCAGTACCTGTGGGTAGCAAAGGTATACCCCCGGTTAAACTCGTACGTCACTAGTAACTATAATAGGTATAGTTAGGAGATACTATTTACCATTCCATGTACAAGGAATCACATAAGAGTCAGTTTATTCATGAGTCTATACAAATACATTACATGTTACATGAATACGCTTACCTGAATACGTTTACATAGTTACGTTTACATAGATATGCTTACATGAATACGTTTACATAGATATGCTTACACGATTACACTTACAATAAACGATAACAGAGCTAACATAACTAGGTGTTATAGCATGGAACAAGTTCAGGATCTAACTATACCAATGAATCACTCTGCATTGTGATTATTATATTGTGTATACATGATCATAGTAATGTGGATGTTCACGGCTTGTAGAAATGCAGGTTCGTGTTTGGTTCCCAGAATCTCCTGATAGAGAGCGTATAGTATGGGTTCTAGCCATCACATTATAACTTAACCCTCATTTAAGGCAAATTAATACAAAGTAGTCACTTATTACAAATACTACAGTACTTACACTTTGCATACGACAATTGCAAACGGATTAAAAATTCGGGTAATATATTATTAATACCTTTACCATGTGCCACATTCACATAATCGATGAGGTAGAAAATAATATCAATAGGCGTACAGTCTAGTCTTGGTAGAAGGCTACTTTCAAAATAGTATAGTCATGGTAGAAGGCTACTTTCAAAACAGTTAGGTCTTGGTAGAAGACTACTTTTTATACTAATAGAAATCATCGGGATTTGCTAGGGTGTTCAAACGTTTTCAACTACTTTCAAACAGTTCATACTTATACAAACTTTTTCCAAATGTTTACAAGTCTTTATTTCCAGTATTACAAATCAAAGACACATTAATACTTATGAATTCACCAGCTTTATTGATGATACTCGCTTTCAAAATAACTTGTATTCTCAGGTCACAAATAGATAGGTACGACGACAAGGTTTGGTGAAGACGGAGAAATCAAGACTCCTATTTTATTTTGATTGTTCATTATGTTGTCCTATACTATGAAAGAACACACTTGTAAATAAAATTATACTATTAATGCAATGGATGATGTTGTTGCTTGTTTACTACTTTGCATTGTTGTGATACATTACATGACGTCCTCCGCCCCAGAACATTTCCACCGTTCTCGGTTTTGGGGTGTGACAGATTGGTATCAGAGCATTGTTTATAGTGAATTAAGTATATCAACCCATAAAAGATATACTAACTATAAATACAATGGAATTAAAAATACTCTAACCAAGAGTTTATACTTTTAAATAATAAAATATTTAACAAAGTATACGTGCCTGCATTCATACTAAAATTTGTGTCACAATGACAAGAACAAAAGTATTACGATTGTTGAATATCACAGGTAAGCTCGGGGATGTATGGTCAGTCTTGGGAGTGGCATAGCCTGATCAACTATGATGTTTCGAGGAGTGATTAGCACATGCCGAAGAATGGTTGTGATGTGTCAACAAGTCTAAAAACTTACCAACACTACTACAATGAGAACATTATAACAGAACCTAGGTCTAAAATACCATAGGGGTGTTTTGTGTTACTATAATTACTTACTTGAGAACTAAAAAGGATCTTCATTACTAAGTTGATAGTTGCTAAGTGGATACACTAAGGTTATATGTAACTAGGATGTTATAGACTTAGAATCTGTGAAATTTTTGCTTTACCCCGGTTCCTTGTGAATTTGGAGTTAAGGTCACTTATTCGAAGGCTTATCTTGTTTTGATTACATATGACTGGTATGCACTTTACAAATAGTGATGTAAATAATGAAGATTTTCTAATAATTATCTAGATAGCTCATCTAATAATTATTTCCTTACCCCAATTCTCGCGTTGATAACATGGTTGGACTCCATCCCCATGGTGACCCGTACCTTCCGAATGAAGGCAATGCTGGATGGTTTGGAGAAGAACCTGAGAATGATCATCCAATCCCTTTGAATGATCACCATGTTGAAGACCTTTCGGATGATGATAACTCCG